TTGTTTTCCTGTAAGATGTATGCTGAGCAAAGAGCAAATATGTTCGCTCCACTTATGGCTCCACCTTTCCAGCCCATTCTCTGGAATATTACCTGTTTAAACCTTTCAGGGTTTGACAACAGAACTACAGGAACTGTGGCAAAATTCATCTCATGAGCACTAAAACACTATGACAAAGTCCTGAAACTATCCTGACTGAGTGGGTTCAGAGGACTGATTTCATTCTGATAGTGGGCTTATTAATACTTTAGTTAACTTTTAAAATATATTCCTTCCATTTTTTTATGATGTAAACTTTTGAATCTGAATTGTGCATATCTAATTATTGTAATTTACTGAATGTCTGTATTAGGCCTAGCCCAAGTAAGTCTAACAAGCTGTTGCACTTTATGGACTATTTTATTAATACACACACACACATGTCACTATTTCACTATGCCTGTAAATAATCCCAATCTTAGCGGTATGCAATTGCTAATAGCAAAACAGTCATACTATTTTTCTAGCCCCTAACTAAGTATTTCTAGGAACTGGCATGTTATCACAGTAAATACGCTCAGCATACAGCAGTGAACAAAAAACAAACGTCACATCTACATTTTGAGCTGGAATAATTAACCTCCGCACCCCAGCCGTACTATAGGCCGTCATGTATAAACACCTGGACAGCATGTGCTCTGCTGAGGTAGCCAGAGCTGAGATGAATCATGAGCTTTGCTCTATGTCTTATAGTTGTACAAAAAGCTAAGAGAAAGAAAAAACGTGAATTTATACATTATTAATAATTCCAGCTTGGCACACAAACAGAACAGCACTTTGACTTGTTCTCAGATGTTTCCATTCATTAGTTTCAAAGCTACAAGTTGTTTAAATGATTTTCAAAAGCAGCCCAAATTTTAAAGCCAAACAAAAAGTTCATCTCCTACTGTGATGCAAAATTGTGAGGGAAAACTGAAGTATAAACAAGTTGATGGTGCCTCAGTCTCCTTCCCACTGCCACTTGTGCACATGCCTCAGTACAGGGCTCTTCAAAACTACATCCACAGTTTATACACAGTGTTAAAAAACAGATACCAGAAGAGACTTTGTAAATGGACTCGTATATTTCTCAAAGTAATGAATTTAATGGTACTGTGAGCTGACTTTACATATTTGAAAAACAAGGCTCAGAAAACCTAACTTTGATCCTGAGACTCCACTGCTTCAACATTGTAACCTAAACAGGATAGACATAATAGAGACGAAAGTGACCCAGAGAAACAGGAAAAAGTGTTACTTGTAGACTAAAAATAAAGGCAACTAACTCTGGGTATACAGGAGTTTTCTTAAACAAAGGACAGAATAACAACAAGCAACTGGCTTTGCCAAGCAAGAAAAAATTGTTCTGCACAATCCAGAAGCTGCTGTGGGCCCCATCTACTGGTCCCTGAGCTGAGAGGAAACACTGTAGTGTCTGGTCTGTGGGGAGCAGCAGTCTGGACAGCTTATTTTAGAAAGACAGAGAATAAGGGGATTTGAAAAAAAAGAGTTATAGACATCCACCACACAGGGATACACTGTTTATACCTATTCCCGCTAGAAATGTTCACTTTTCTAAGGATACATTTATTGGAAGAGCCCCATGGAATGTATTCACTGATGCTTGTACAACACACATGCAGTGTAAGCAGCATTCCATAAACATCATTAGCTTTCTCGTATGAACATCAAAACAGAGATAGCCACACAAAACATGAGTTTCAACCAATGATCCTGGATCTTCATGCACAGATGTTGCAGTCCAAGTTCTGAGTTCCAAGGAGCAAAGGAATCAGAATCCAAAGGGGGGAAAAATATGCTAATGCACTGATAAACTCTCTCTAGAAAGATTTGTAAAGTAACCATTAGTACAAATGTGTATTGCTCTTGCCTCTTCCCACAAAATAAAAATTATACTTATTCTTGAGACATATACTCATTTAGTGTACAATTGTGCATCTGCGATTTGCTGGCTCCAATTTGAAATCTGCAGTTAATCCCAATAAATGCATTTTTTTTGAAGATTCAAAACTCATGTTTTGGAAGGAGAACCCAAAACTCTGGTGTATCGATGTAAATGTTAAAACAGCTGTTCAGGTAGGTAAGGAATCAATCCATATTTACACCAATAATTTACAGAGAGGAGGATCAATCCCTGTGGGAATATAAACACAGAGAATCTTGCCATTAGTTATTAATGAATAAAACTAGATGCCTACACATATACTGAAGACATATATTCCCCATAATTTGATCCTCTTAGTACTATAGAACTAACTTTGGACAGTATTTCTTCTAATAAGAAAAGTACCCCTTGTCCAGGAACTTTAAAACTCACTGTTTTGTATTCTTTCTTAAAATCAAAGGAATCAGTTAGTGAGAATTCCAACTTTGAAATTACAAGACGTAAACAAAAAAATGAATATAACTCGTTGGTGCCGGCACAAGGAACGTCATGTGTTGCAATTAAAGTTATTCACCCGTCATGTGGTCTGATTCCATTGCAGTATTTGGGAGAATACAAATAAACAGTAGAGCCCTGCAATTCTGTAGGGTGTCTATTAGAGGCATAAAGGCTGTGCTGATCTGATGAATTTTACTACCCCGTTGATACACTTTTGCCGACCAGCTTGTCCATACAACCATTTCTCGGCAATGTATGTTAGGGAGGTGGTGAAAGGATCCTTGTTTCATAGAAAGGTTTGTATATACTGTTTGTGCAAAGAAACTGAGACAGCTTTTCAGGGGTCAATGACCAGGTATTTACAAAAGCCCAGAAAGACATATTTACATATATGCAAATATGCATGCATGCCTCCAGTTCTGTCTAAAACCACGGTACCACTCAAAAGCAACATCAGCCCTCAGACCCATTCTATAAACTACCACAAATCTTTTACACACATCGAACCCACACCTTATTCTTATCCTAGATACTAAAATGCCCTAAAATATAAATTCAACAAAATCATGCCTAAACATGTCAAGGGTATTTGAAGGTCATAACTAGCTTTTATCATGCTACCGTATGTTCATGCATACATAAGCACACATTACATTAATACAGCATGTCTTAACCCCTTTAACTAAGCAAAAGTCAAAATTCAGCCCCTAAACTGAATCTACGTCTGTCTCCAAAAATCTATACTTTATGCAGGATTGTTGCATGTAAAGTCAATTTTCATCTTGCTCCTATTAAAACATTATAAATTCAAAGCAATTTCTATTTTTTCAAGGCAATGCAAGCAAAATCAAGAAATAAAACTCTCTACACTGTGAGTCTTTTAGTGCAATTTGCAATTTTTTATCCTGTCTTTCATGCTACAATGTATTTTTCTAAAATGTCTTCTTCAAGCCCTTGTTCTCTATATGGTTTTTACATGGTTTGCCTATATACTGTCTAAGAATTCAAGACTCTCAAGACTCTGACAACAAAGTCAGTGAAAGAAAGATCTAGTTTTTTCTGAACAAAAGACATGAAAGACATGTGCATGTGCTGTATGGAATACATGTAACAATATTAGAGTATGTGCTTGCCATTCCATCTCTTCCACATATTGTCCAGTTATTAATGGAAGGCTTTACTTCTTTATACCACTGTCTGACAGGCGCATGTTAGCAAGATGGAACGTTCCGTTCACTCTAATGTATTTAATCAGCAGACCAGCTTTTTAAGCGTCATCTTCCAGTGTACAAGCAGATTATACCGATAGTGGAGAGCACCATTAACCGTTAATATAAGTTATTTTTACTCATGATAACCTCAACTCTTTCTTTTCAACTCCTATTAATATTCCCACCCCCATACACATGCACACGCACACACTCTTGCAAACAATCAACTGTTGCACTGAAGTATTCAAGGCAAAAAAAAGAAACCTCCCAAGAAAGCCCTTCTCACACAGCGCAAGTCATACCAGGGAAAGAGCGCACATTTGTAGGGCAACATGCATCTTCTGTCTTTAAAAGGGAATTATTCCACACTTACAAACGTTGACATAAAAGACACACTCATGGCATATTTCAAAACCAAAGAGCGATGGATTTACAAGGCAGGTTGATTTTATGGTGACTTTTATTGACAAGGTATGTGGGCTTTCGGCAGATGCCTCCCAGCACCAGGAAGTTAACACAGTGCCTAATTCAAGGAGACAGCCCGAGGAAGCAGCACCGACAAGGGAGAGAGCGCAACAACGTCTCTATTACTCTCCTCGGCATCATAAAGGAGAAGAAGAAAAATGGTATCCAAGGGGGAACTGGGAAGCTGCGTGCAGTTGGGGGGGGGGGGATCACTATTTTTCCCTTTTACTTCACTTTCCCCAAAGCTAAAGATGAGGGAGGAGGCAAGAGTCCAGAAGAATGAACAAAGGGACCCACATGGAAAAACAACCTTTGCTCAGTATGTAAGCTGTATTTGTATGAGGAAACCAGCACCAGCCAAACTCTGCCTTATCTTACATTTCCTAGATGAGGTACCATTTGATCTACTTTCCATATAGCAGTTAATGAGGAAGCGAGTCAGCTGAGAGATTGGAGGATGCTGCAACAGGCACTGCTCCTATAATGAACCTTGTACAAACTGGCTTTCAGATGGCCCCTAGTTTGTGAAAGATGCTTTCATTCCCAAAATGTAGACATTATCTGAAAACACTGCAAACTGTATGGGAGGTATTAGAGCTTGGTGTTCCACCATGGAAGAGCATACCTTCTTTCTTTCTCTGTGATAGGGTTTTAGTTTAAGTTAACCATTGAATAATTACACCTACATACTGATATGAGGAACAACTTCTGGGATGCTAGGTACACAAAGCAAATGAGTAAGGAAATGGTCAGAGGGATTTTTAACCAGACAGCAGGGCAATATATTTTTCAACACACTGGCAATGCAGAATCTCTCTTCCTTCTCTGTAGCACTGGCAATACTCTGTAGCGCAGCACCCCAATCTAGGCTGAGAAGAACAGCTTCCTTTTTCAGCTTCCCTTCAATCCACCTCCTTCTGCAATCTGTCAACATCCACTTAAAGAAAACAAGACCACAAGTATCATGTGCCTCTTTAATGTATCCTGGTGTTAGAGAACACACCTGTTGATCGTTTCAACAGTTCAGCTAAGCAAAGTTAAGGTACTTACATCTATCATTTCGGTCTTCAGGGCTAGATGAGGTCTCCCGGTCTGAAATGAGGCCAGAGACAGCAAAGATCTTTTTCCCTGTGTCATCGACTTTGAGGGAGCCGGGGGAGCCTGATGGGAGCTGGGCTCCAAACTCATACTCCTTGCCATCAGCGTCTGAGAAGCGAAGGTGGGGAGAGTCAGTATCATGGCAGTTCTTCAGGCGTTTGGCAGGTGTAAAAGCTGACTGGTAACTCTCCCTGTCCTCAGTGGAGGCGAAGGGACGGAAGGCCCCAACACCACTGTGGTTCAGCATGCTTATTGGGGTGCAGTCCAGATTGGGGGGAGCAAACTGGGGGTGGAGATGAAGCAAGGAAGGTGGAAAATCACGGTTGGTGAATGCTCCTGGCACCCCACCTTGTCGGTGATACATGGAGGCAAAAGTATAGGAGCCATTGGTGAATGGGATGTGAACATCCTTGTCCACTGACACAGGGACGCCAAAGGGCCTTGGCTGTTGGCAAGGGATGGAAGCATCGCGGCTGGCTTCAGCAGTAGAAGCAAGAACCATGAGGGCTGGAGATGCCAGAGGATTGGGAAGGTAGGAGGAGTTTTCCATCTTGAAGGCTGCCCGGTGTAAGTCCATCGGAGACTCTTTCCTTGACAGGGCCACAAGGGAAATGGTCTTCCCTGGATGGAAAGCAAAACAACGTCTGGGAGTAGAGCTGAAGGATTTCACTGGGACCTCATCACCAACTCAAAGCTGTGAAGAAACAGGAGGAAAAGGAGGGGAATAGAGGTTGTCAGTCTTTAGCAGCCATCTGTCCAGGATGCAGCAAAAAAATTGCTCGAACCAGAAGCAAACCTCCCTGTCTTCTCACATAAGAAACTAGCAGGAAACTACAAATATCTAGAAGTGCCTCTGACTCCCTCTAAGGGTGTATCTGCACAAACCTTTCTCCTGCTCCCAGTTCAATGCTATAGCAGTAAACTTGAGTTCAAGAGAACTCTCCAAAGCTGATTTAACATGGCATACCAACAGTCTCAGTATTGTCTTCTTCTGCCATACAGACGAGCAATGGAGTGGGGCAGGTTCAGATCAAGAAATATGTGTCTGGCAGGGATTAGATGTTCTGAATAAGTTGCGTTAACCCCCACCACACCGAGAACCCATGCAGGAAAATAGTATCCTCCGAGGAGCAGAAAAAGGGCAACCTACCTGACGTACCAAACAAAAAATCATGTGAAAATTAAATAATCTTGGATGTGAAAAATCAGTGGTGGGAACTTTGGTGCCCCTATCCAAAACCTAATTTCTAATAAAATGCTTCAAAAATTACAAGTGAACTTCCCTATAGTTATTTATACAGCCTGCAATGCATAAACAGTCTGGGTGTAATTTCTATCTACTGTTGTAGAAGCAATAGATACATAGGTTTTAGGTTTTACCAATGGTGTGTGCTGGAATAAACAACATGCTCACTGCACATATTTCTAAATAACCCCCCATCCTTTTTCTGAGCTTCTTTTTTGTAAAGCAAGCAATACAAACTTCATCAATAAAGTGCCTGGCATCTCTAACAATATTTAAAATCATAATGGGTGCCTGTGCCATCTGATCTCCCGCGAGCATCTGCCTTTCAGGTCGAGGACAGCACAAAACGGATCAGTAATTTTACTTCCTAATGCGCTCATGCTTAAGTAGATTTGTAAACAGTCCTGGATGTGCCATTAACATTTAGAGGAAAAAATATTAACACCATTTCTGGGCTTGTTTTTCCTTTGCAGCTTCTTACAAATTCCAAGGAACAAATCATAACACCAAAAGAAACAAAAATGGAACAAAGATACCTGTGTTTTTTGTATATGTGGATCTGGGAGGAAAGACTATTTCCTCCCAAACCTTTAAAACCAAAAAAAGAATTGTTTGCCCCCCTCCAACAGCAAACCCACAATCCTTCTTTAAGCTTCTACTGCCAACTATTCAGGATGGCACAATGTGCTTTAATATATGAGGACTGTTACTCTAAAACAATATACTACCCTTGCTGCACTCAAAGGGACACAAAATATTCATATAATAAAAAAGCTGTTAGAAAATGTGGCTGTTAGTTCCAAGAAGGTCAGACACAGCAAATAAAACCTACTGAAAGAGTCCCTTTTCTAATGGAGTGGCTTTTGTATTCTTTGAATGAGCAAGCCTAGGTTAACAAACTCTATGGCATTCTGGCTGTGCCTTTCATAGAGTCCAGCAATAACATTTCCTTTTCTCCCATCCTGTACCAAGCCATTCAGCGACTGAAGATCAGTGGGCATCATTTCTTGCTTCTTTCTCATTTGGCTCCCCTGCCGGGAGAGCTCCATACTAAATTGCCAGATCATGGATCTCATATCAACAAATTTCAGTCCATTCCAAATGTAAAATAACTTTTTTGTCAAGTTCTAACCATGGACAGAGAGATGCCAAAGGCAGCCTAGCCAGCATTCATTCCGGTGCTCTCCTCTTGCTACTTTCTGGTTTATCAAAAAACAAAAAGCAAACAAATGTTAAGACTAACAATTGTAATAATTTCCCAATTGGGGTGGGGGGAATATATAATTATTCCCAGCTATTTTAAAAGACAAAAGAAACAATAAAGAGAATTGTATTATGAACCGGCCTATAACACAAATTCTCCACAGTTTAAACTGGGAGGAGGGTCAAGGGTGCACCACTGATGCATCTGTGCCTGGTTTTCTATTTTTACTTGCACTGTCATCTCATTACGTTAAATGTATTTCATAAATTAGTAATCTGGAAGCCACACTTGACACTCCTTGTAGGATACTGTGAATCACTCCAACCGCCTTATTCGTTTGCAAACTTCATTACATAGAGAATAAATCAACACACTGTGATAGTGCGCCAGGCCAAGTTTAGGGTTCCCCCCCCCAAAGACTTGCATTCTTCCCTGTTCTTGCCTCATCTCTTACCTTCTTTCCACCATCCCTTTGCCCCACCCTGTGATTCCCTACCACCACCACCACCATCATTAGGAGCATGTATAGATGAGGCTGCGGCAAGACCAGTCATTATGAAAATCTATAGTTAATACACTCCCAATGTCAAAATGTCATCGGTTTTTAAATATGGAACCCAAAATAAGAAAACTAACTGGCCTGCTTAATTAAAAAAATATGGATTGCAGAATAACCAGTCTGATGAAGCATTCAGGTGACGGGAAGGGAATGGGCACAGGCAAAGTAAGTAACTGTTACTTTTCTGCCTCTATGCTGATTTTTTTAATTTAGCACCCTGTGCAAATCCAGATTAAAATAACTCCAGCTATTGATCCAAGCAGTGGAATTGACATTAATTTTAGTTCACTTCTCACTTTGCAAAGAGATCAATAGGAAGTAATAACAGCTGACATCCCTGCTGAAAGGAAGAGAAAAGACGGTCTAGCGACAGAAATCGAAAAGCAACCAAATAAATCAGCAGATACTTTTCCACGGCATCAGACAAACTCCAAACAGATTGCAAAAAGTCTTTGTCGAATTAACTAAACAAGGAGTGGAGGAGGCCAAGGGGGTGGAGATAAATCTATGAAGCTACATAAACTGTCCACTGGGTATCCAGGTTAGATTAGCAGAGAAAAAAACATATTCTGATTTCTTATATTATTAAAATCATCACTCACTTGAGATATTTTTCTTTAAAATCTTTCTTTTTAAGGCACGCATTATTTCCACCTATCACTAAATGCAAAGTAAAACAGCAAGACCAAGAAAACCTTAGTTAAAATCCTTCAAGATTGAGCTACAACAAAACTGTAAGAGCAAAATATCACATGCAATGTCCAGTTTAGCTTTTGGTTTCTCTGCATATTCATAATTATAATGCTATTTTAGCTACCCAGGAAGAGAATCTACTGAAAGGAAGCTGGTCTGTCATACACAGAATTTACCAGTTTTTCTCCTAGACAACAGGCAAGTGGATAAAGCAAAGCTAGTCATACCTGAAGGTAATTTTACAGTGTAAATTACATGTAAAAACACAGAATTTAAATACTAAAAACTCTTAGAATTTATGGGTAACAAATGACTTCTATATTGTTACTTTTAAAAAAAATCTCCCAGACAACTATTATCTATTATCTGTGATCTATGTTAATAACAACTATTAACTATGATCTTTAAACTATTTCAAAATTTTAAATTAACTGAATTAAAATCATAATTTTTCTCTGCTGTTTGTAGAGGGGAGGGGGGAAAGTTTTCAAAACATTTTTTGTAAAACCACCCAACACTTCTGGAAAGAGGAAATGAAGAAGGGATCTTTGGATACTTCGAGTTATTGTTACTTTTTAATCTCATAATTTTAAAAAGAGAAATATACTCTAAATTACAAAATCACAATATTTTAAAAAATCAGTTGTTGAGGGGATTAAAGTGCTCAAACGAATTACACATTTGAACTAACTATTCAAAGTAAAACAAATGGAAGACTGAGAACCTGAAGGAAGGGATCCCAGGACATCACCAAGAAATTCTATAACCCTGTGTTTCTTGTAGCTAAATACCAGGGGGATGCTGGTGTTGCGGGCGTGCCGGCTAAATTACGACTTACAGCGCAGGGAGGGGGGTGGAAAACGGGCACTGCCGGTTCGGGACCTAGGAATACCAATTCAAGGAGTACGAAAAGCACCACCCATGGGAGCGACGGTGGATCAGGCCCCCGGTGCAACAACAAAGCAACCGCCTTACCTTTCCCCAACTGGTTGGCAACTCCCCACCACCACCAAAAGCAAGCAAATGAAAATAAACCATAGGAATGCTAAAAAGCAACAATCTGAGCTGCAAAATACTGAGGTGTTACCGACCTGTAGAGAGCTTTCCATCACACACTCCATCCCAAAACCCAGATTTCTTTTCCCAGTTTTTAAACATTTACTTGCGAAAAATCTACTCGCGCGACAAGCACTTTGGGCCACAATTTTGGTGAAACAACACGAAGTAACCAACCTCGGAACTGATGTGCAGTATCTGGCCCTCCACCCCCGGTCCGGAAAGGTCCCTCAAAGTGCGAGGGGTGGACTCCGAGAGCTTCTGCTGGTTCCCCAGTTCAGAAAAAGACTAAAACTACTCAAATTCAGCTTTCCTAATCTAGAAAAAACCCTGGATTAGTTTGGACATAAGAGTGTTAGACCCCTTTCAGTTCCTAGGAAAAGGAAATAAATGCGGTTTTAATTGCAAGGAGGAAAATTAACCCGCACTTGTGTGACTTTCTGCAGTTGCAGATCAAAACAGGTGTTTGTCCTTCCCAGCACAAAAGAATAGGGCTGATTTAAAAGAATTTTAAACAAGGCAACAAAACAAGGCACTTCCCCAACTTTCCCACTCCATTAAATGAAACAACAAAACTGGGCATGAAAATCTCAAAAGTCCATTTGCGAGCGAATTTCCGCATCGTTTCATTCCCGGCAATGTGCCCGCCCTGCCATGCCTGGGCACTTTCCCACTGACTACGCCAACGTTCTGCACCGACAACAACAATTGTGCGCAATCGGTTAACAACAGCCTTGCAAAGATACCAAGATTTTCACTCCTTCCCGGAAACGTATGCGGGGACGCCAGTAAAATCCCTCCACCCCAGGGTCCGGTCAG